ATATATATAAAAGAAATCTTCATTTTTCTCTATTCTAGTAGAGACCAAGTTTATATCAATCATGTTTTTTATTTTCTGATGTTTTGATACCTTAGAGGCCTTGCTCTATGGAGAGAAATTTCCCCTCTCGGGGCCATCTAATTCCTAAAGACAGCAAACAACTATCTTATGAGCATTCTTTTCATATGCAAGCCAATTAATCCTGAAGCCATATCCCCAACCACTTCCTTTATCTAACTCTCAGACACCAACCCAATACTTCTCCTCCTCTAAGTCACCCAAGGACAAACACAGAACTCTAGACCATCCTTATAGCCCAGAGCTCACTTAAATTATTCAAACTATCTAATCCTAAATTAGTTCTCACTTGCTTGTCCTGCTCCCCTCATTCCTTCCTGCAAAGAACAAAATAGAGACTTTGGGCCATGTTCTTCTCCCTTTGCCCCTTCTGCCTCCTGACTGACACTGGTGCTTCTTCATGTGCCCCTGCATGCCATGTCATGCTTCTTTCTAGGGATTTCTGAATTTTTTACTTCATGAAAATCAGTTTTGTTTCATATATCTGCATGCCTATAACTGATTAAAATAAACCCCAGATACATTTTAATATAAAATTCAAAATTAAAATAAGATGCATAGAATCTGTATGCTAAAACTTCAAATAGTGATGAAATAAATAAAAAACCTAAATAAATGAAAATATATAATACATTTGTGAATTGGAACACTGTAAGAAATAAAAAGATTAAAATGGCAGTTCTTCTAAAATTGATCTATAAGCTTACCACAATTGCAATCAAAACCCTACCAGAAACTTTTTGTAGATTTTGATTAATTGATTTAAAATTATATGGAAAGGCAAAGAAATGAAAATAGCCAAAATAATTTTGAAAAAAAAAAGAATAAAGATGAAGGGTTCTACTTGATTTTAAAGACTTAATATAAATATATGTAATTAAAATAGTATAGTATTGGCAAAAAGGTAGACAAACAGATCATTGGCACAGAATAAGGAACCCAGAAAAAGACCCATATGGCCAATTTATTTCTGAAAAGTTGCAAAGTACTTCGATCATTTTTTCAACATATAGTGCTAGAATAATTAAATATTTATATGCAAAAACAAACAAAAGCTACAATCTAACTCACAGCTAAAAAATAATAAGTGTGAGATGTTAAACTACAAAAGTTGTTAAAAAAAAAAAAAAGCTAAACTTTTTATAACCTTGGGTTAGTCAAATACTTTTTTTGTTTTTTTTCAAAGAAACTTTTTTATTGTGTAAGACATGTACAAAGAAAATTATAAATTTTGATAACAGATAAAGATGTAAGTGAAGAGCCATACATGTCAAGTAGTTTTTAAATGATATTAAAAGTGTGATCCATAAAATAAAAAGTTGATAAAATTGAACCCCATCAACTTCAAAAACTTTGATCTCTGAAAGAAACTAGTAAGAGAATGAAAAGACAAGCCATAGACTGGGAGGAAATAATTAGAAATCACATGCCTGACAAATAACTTGCACTGGGAACATACAAAAAAACTCTCAAAACTCAACAATAGCAAAGGAAATAACCCACTTAAAAATGAACAAAAGCTTTGAACAGATACTTCATTAAAAAAACAAACAAAAAATACCCCATGAGAAGATGCTCACCCTAACTAGTCACTAGGAAAATGCAAATTAAAACCACAATAAGACCACTACACACACACATTTGTCTGCACTTAAATGAGACTGAAATATTCTTGAATATACTATATACTTCTCTGCCTATCTTCTGACCTGCCTCATTAATCTCAGATGCCCTTCCTTCACTTCCTTCATCTGTCAACTTCTACTGATCCTTCAAGAGTCAACTTGGGCACCATCAATTCCAAAACACATGCCCTCGAACCCCCACTCTCACTCCTCCCACCTGGGTCTGAATTAGTGGCCTCTGTAATGTATGATGATGGGCCCTCCATTTTCATCTATCACCTCGTCATCAAATATATATTGCTAACTTATTTAATTAGAGGTTTTAGTATTCTTAACTATGATCTTCATGAAGTCATAGATTCTGTCTTCTTTAAGCTTATATCCCCAGAAATTAGCACAATAAAAATTGTTGAATGAGTAAATAAATTCATATGGAAAGTCATATGTTCCTTCATATAAGCTCAGCCTCTGCTTTATGAATACTCACACTTCAAAATTGAAATCATTTTCCTCTCATTAGAGAAAGTCTTGGTTTCTTTAGGTAACTTGCCCAGCTGATCAGAGTTAGAAACCCTACACTCTGAGTTATTATCCTAAGCCTTAGGACCTTAGGTGTTCTCAAATGATAATTTTGTATCATTGGCTACAATTTGATTTGATGAGGGAGACTATGTCAGACTTGAGACCATGAGCACAGCTACAATAGTTTGGTCCTTAGTTATAAGTCATTCACTTCTGACACTACTTTGAAGATCTCTTCCCAAAGGTGAAGTCCCCGGTCGGTCCAAGTTAGAGCTTTCTCAGCATTGTAGGTGCCACTTGCAAATGGTGCCCTGCATTTTTGTCTTTGTCTGCATGTTGCCTGAAATGAGCAGGCATGCCAGTCCCTCCTTGTGCCCCACCAGATCCTGAATTACAAAGAGTGGAAACAAATGGTCCATCTACATCATGATAATACCTAACATTTGTATATGCTTCTCAAAATGCTTTCATCATCTTATGCCATTATATAAGATTAGTATTGTCAGAAGCATTGGGAATGAGTTATTATTGTATTTATAAGTGAAAAATGTGATTCATACATGGATGGCTTTAAAATTCATGGCAAGCTTTTTCATTTGGCCAGCAAATACACCCCATTTTAAGTTAGGGAAGCTGAAGTCAGTTACCTCTAGATTCGAGGTATTCTGCTGGCAATGAGACCTTAAGGAAATTATACAACCCTATGTAGTCTTGGTTTTCCGATGATGCTACCCAGACTGCAGAGGGACTGAGAAGAATACACAAAACAATGTGAGTGTGAGGAATACACAAGTCAATATGGGTATAGCTGGTGGAGCTACTTTCACATCTTCCAAGCTTTCCACTTCTGGGAAGTTCTGATTGTCAGAGAGAAATTGATGCCAAGAAATAAGATCTTCTGAGAAGCAGCCATCTTATAGTGTTTGGAGGTAGAAGAGGGAAAGAGAGATGTGGTTTTGGGAGGTCTGTGCTCTGGTCTTATATAAAGAGTCTGGAGTCAGGGCCATCATTTTGTTTATTCTAGAGGGGTACTGCATTTGGGGCATCGGAAAAATGACTTCTCAGGGTGTAAAAAATGTCTTATGTAGGGAGTGCTGGGCAGGAGAGTGGAAATAAATAAGCATTGTGAAGTGTTGGGAGCCAGTGACGTGTCTGGACATGGTCCACGTCACCTGAGGGTCTGAAGTCAAGGACTCCACCATCCCCACAATTACCCTTTCTTGGGAGTCGGTGACATGTCTGGACATGGTGCAGATTGCCTGAGGGTCTGGCCTCAAGGACTCAACCCTCCCCACAATTACCCTTGAGGAGGTTTGCTATCCAAGATAAAGAAATTACCAAGGTCTGGGCTCATGCAGGAGGCAGGATATTTACTCTGAAAGAGTGTTTATGCAGCCTTGAAGGGACTACTTTGTATCACCCTCACCTCATTACCAATTGTTTGTTACTATATAATAAAGGCATTGAAGCCATTTGGGCCTGCTCCTGGCTGGAAGACAGTCCTCCTGATCCCATAACTTTGTCTCTTTCATTCCCACCACTCGAACTCAGATTTGTTCATTTCTCAGGCTGGTTCCTGACAGTGAAGAATGCAGTTGGGTCATGGAATCACAGGCTACAGGATGTGCTCAAAATCAGTGCATCTTATGTGAACACATACAGGCCAAGTATAGACCAAGTGCACTTAGACTTACATATATGGAGTATCTAGCAACCAACAGGGACCAACATTTCAGTTCTGTTTGCATCTTGATAGGCTATACAAGGAGGATTTAGTATGTGCTTCCTTCCAGTTTTAGCATTCTCATACTATGTGCAGTTTAATATAAAACCTGGGTTAAAAGCTAGGCTGCCCAACTATAGATTTTCTGAGGAGATTTCATCCTTTGCATTTGTAATTATGATGTTTGTTTCTTGTTTGTGGTGCAAATACTAGACAGCTTCTAGACATGTGTCTGTGAGTGTTCATAACTGTACATTATCTAGGTGGGTAAAATGTGTACAGCAGAGGCCAAGAACACCTGTATAGGGTACTTACTGAGGTGTCTGTACCACATCCTTTCTCAACACACTGGTTGCATATACACAAAAGAGCGGATGGGCCAGAGCTGGTGCTGGATATGCCCAGTGCTGGGTGTTGAAAAGACAGGGCCCCACGGTAACAATATATATATATATATATATATATATTTCCCAAAAACGCATACACACACTTGGAATAATTATAAAGACAGTGTTTATTAAAATACAGATCATTTTCAAAATTGGGTTATCAGCTGTTAAAGTGTGTATACATTTTTGGGCGGACACCCTGTATATACGCACATATGGTGGGGGAGGGGGGCGGTGCTCAGGCTGAGGCTGTAGGGCGGGGCCAGCACCGCTAGCGGTAGGTTGGGGAATTTGGTACCCAGAGAAGAGCAGGCGAGGCAGGAAGGGCTGCAAGTGAGAGGATGAAGGGCTGAAGTGTTCTGCGTTATGGTGCATCAGACCCAGCTGTTGGAACAGAATAGGTGCGTCTTTGACCCAGACAGCCCTCCCCTCGCACACTTACCCAGCCGGAAGGCCCCTCCGTGGTTGTGGTTGCAGCCACTTGCCCTGGGCAGCCGCAGCGCGGTGAGAAGCAGGTGGGCGTCCCGGTCCCTCCCGCAGGTCCTGGAGCCCCGGGGAGCCCTGCAGGGCACATGTGCCCGTACTGGCTCTAATCTGTGCGCTGATGGGAGCATGGTCTGTGCCCAGGCCGGGACTGCCAAGGTAAGCGGGCGCCTTTCGAGGACTCTGCTTGCAGCCCTTCTCTGGGCGGCTTCCCCGCTGCTCGCGAGGGCCCGGCAGCGCTCTCCTTTCCACATCCCAGGATCCACCCTCCTCCCCACCTTCTCGCTTCTCCTGGGAAGTTCAATTGTCAGTCTGGGGCCCGCTGCCTCCAGGGCCCGGAAGGCATTCCCGGGTGTCGACCGGAGCTCGGGTACAAGAGGCCCGCCCGCCCTCCGGTGAGGTGAGGCATCCGGAGAAACAAAGAAACCCCCAAGTGGGTTCGAAGCGTCTCCCCCGCCCCCAGCGCCTTCCCAGTGAGGAAAAGGTATTGGTAAGGGGGCGGAGAGACCTACGTAATCCCCCTTCCCAGCCTACACCTACCCCTTTGTACCAAAGCTTTAGATCTGAGTTTCTCCTTGGCTCCGTTTTTAGATAATTTTGTTCCAAGAAATGCCCAGGGCTAACTGAGACAGCGCCCATAGTCCCCGCAGGGGCTCGCGAATGCTCGCTCACGGGGCACGTGGCAGATCCTGTCCTTGCTCCTTTGGGTGGTGGCACGCGCGGTGTGGGGGCTCCTTCAGCACCTCCTTGTCCGCGGCCGGCTGCGCGGCTCAGCGGAGGCTGCTACCTGAGTTTTAGAAGGAGCAGCGGGTCTTGCCACCTACGGTATTTCGACCTGCACACAGGCAGAGAAGAACCGCTGGGGAAAACGCGTCTGGTCCATTTTTGGCTGAAGGTGCGCTTCCTTTTATCCCTACATCTCGGTCTATGACAATGCAGCAAAATTCGGGGCTCAAACAATGTGGCCCCTCCATCCCACCCTCATCCAGTGCCTTCTGATTGCTCTGCGTCTTTGATGAACCAGCCACTTGGCCCATTTTCGGAGTGTGGATGCGTGGTCTGTGTTTGTTTTGCATACGGAGGCTGGACACCATAACTTCCCTGCATGGTGGGAGCTGGCAGGGACTCAGACTGCAGAGATCTCCGGCTTCCTTTGGTTCCAGGCACAGCCTGCCCCAGTCTGCTTTGGGCCGATACCAGATAGCATGTGGTGATTTTCCTAGCTGCTGAAGATATTATTTGACCTTTCTGTAGTTATTTTTTGTGCTTACTTTTCTTGGGATCTGCAGTGGTGCAATTCTCCCCTTGTTTTTATTTTTTCTCTTGGAAAAGATAACAAGGCTGTCTTGAGCAGAAATGGATATAGGAAGATAAGAATAGTTCAAAGACTAACGGAGACATCTTTTCTCTCTTCCTAGGATTTAAGTGAGATTTAGAAGGGCAGATGCGCTACTGGAAAAGGCCAGCCTTTAAATACCTCAGCAGTGTCACTGTCCAAGACAGCACAAAGCAGGTAGCCATATCTGCATTTCTCATCAGTGGACTCACTAGGCTTTGGCTCTTAACAGCAATTCGCTCTAGATCAGGGATTCATTTTGAAAATGTGTGTTTTTCACTAAGAAGGGTTTATAGTCCACATGCCTACCCTGGTATGATGTGTGTATCTGATTGGTAGAGAACTAACGTGTGGTAGAATTCCCTGGTGCCCCTTCTTTCTGTTTGCTACCTCCTCTGGAATGTGGCACTGAAAAAATATAGCACTATTTTAATTCCTAAACCTACAGGACTTCAGAGTTTAATTTAATAAAGCTTATTCTGACCAATTCTGGAATCCCAGTCTAGTGCAGTTGGCAGCTTTGTGAAATGACTGTTTTGTTTTTGTCTGGAGTAGTTATTTCACATAGGCAAATTATTTAAATTTGTTCAGATTGTGTACATTATTGGCTTGGTAGGGAGATCACATCCTGAGCCAGAACAGTCTGTAAATGCATCAGTATAGAGGGACTGCAGCTACTATGAGCTGTTTGCATAATGTCATTTTATCCCTTTACACCTCTGAGTTTCAAAAATTGGTGTTTTAAAAGCTATACCTTCTCTGGTGCTTACACCAGATATGACTATTAATATAAGAAATGCTGAAAGATCAGATGTGATCCTGGGAAGACAAACCTCCTTAGTCCCTTATCTGTAAAGTGAGTAAGCTTGGTTAGCTATGGTTCCTTCCAGTTCCAACACTGTTTAATAATGGTAGAAGAGTAAGAAAAGTTACCCAGTTTAGCAAAGCAAGTGATTCTAGCCCAAACTATATAAGCAAACCAGGGACTGATTCCAGAATTTATGGTTTATTTTTATGCCTGCAGTTTTTTTAACCCCAGTATCTGCATTTTTCTCATAAGTTAAATTAGTCAACTAAAATAGGTCACTTTAAAAAAAATCCACAATAGCAAAAAGATTTTGTGGGGGTTGAGGGAGAGAGAAGAATTTTGAATTAATAGGATAACAGGTTTTCTCTTTATTTGTGGATTAGTTATCTATTCCAGTACCATCTTTTATGGATAACTGAGACTGTAGTTGATTTCCAATGATTTTTGTTTTGTTTTCAGTGAAAGACTCTATGTAGCTTTTTCATCTTACACAGCATTTGGCAATGGAATCTGACTTACTTTCCCTGATAGAATTCGATATTGCTCACAAAACTTTTTAGCACTGTTGCTTGTTATAAAAATGAGTGAGGCAACAATTATTCTAAATAGGCAAGCAAAGTATTTTCATGTGCTTATAATAATTTGTACAATTTAGGGATAGTTGAGATATTTGGTCATTGTTTTATGCTTATCCACACAATTTTCCTCAGTAGTGTGTTAGTGTTTTGTGTTTTTTTTTAAAGTTACAATAAAAATAACATCTTAAAATAATAGTACCTGTCAGCATAATGAATCACTCCCCCTCTAATTTTCCCACAAGGCCCTTGTCCATACCACTAAGGCAGCACTTATCATATTGCAGTTACATGAGTTATGAATGGGCCACAGCCTCCTTGTCTTACACGTTGTGTATCTTGAGGACAAGATACACAAAAAGAGATAAATTGTTAAATTTATCTCTCATCTCTCCAGCACCTTGAACTTTGCTCAGTCCATGGTATGTTCTCAGTCCATGGTATATATCATCTACTTGTTTAAGCAGGAAATAGGTGGGAATTATTCCCTTTGTGAGTCTGATGGGGGAATCAAAGGTTATTTAAGATGCTAAGGAGAACCAGCAAGCTAGGACTCAAACCTAAGCTTTCCACTGTAATGCTTCTGAGAGAGGCTGCACCACCTCCCAAGTAGAAAATGAGGTAGAGAGCAAGTTCAAATGTTGCAGGTTTGGGTCTTTTGTTTTTTTACGTGAATAACTTATATTGTCCATTCTGACAAAATCGATCTGGTAACTGCTCTGTTCTGTCTTGCTGTAGCCTTTGAGGGAAACTTGTACTGTCCAAACACTGACTTCTAACCTGCACTTAAACAGAGAAGGTGAGTGCCATTCTGCCCTCCTCCTCCCCAAATGCTTCTGCAACAACCCAGCAGTTCCATCAGAGACAGCCATTATTCCTGGTCAGCTCACCCTAACAGAGTTGACCAACAGAAAAATTTCTGGGCTAACAGGCATTACTTATAGACAGAGCAACCCTTGCTACCCTCTCATCACCTTCTTTCTTTCCATCTTTCTTTTAAAAATTTATCTGTATTGTTGAAAGTATTATAGATATCCCATTTTATCCCCATTGATCCCCTCCACCCTGGATTCCCCTTCCAGGCCTTCACCACACTGTCATCTGTGTCCCTGGGTTATGCATATATGCATATAAGTTATTACGCTAATCTCTCCCCACCC